ACATCACTTTTTCACGAGGTCGCAGCCTGCACGTCAATGTGGCTGGCAAACGGTGGTACTGTGGCAGTACAAATGAATAAACAGTCGATCTACTGGCAATTGATCTATCGTAATCATTTCCAGCCCCTCATCTCAAGACATCATTACACGTGAGTTCTCGAGTGGAATATTCCCGCGTGCACTAGCGCTCACTCGTGCAAACCACTGTTTCACGAAATATTGCTAAACATTTTCACGCGTGTTCACATCGTGGAGGGTATCAAAATTTCCACATAGGTGATCGATCATGAGTAGACTGTTCATTGATTGATTTTCTTGAAAACGATTTGTTCTTCTTGGATATGACTTCTTATTATTGCTACAAATCACATGAAATGAGCCAATTTAGCATTTAGTTCCTATTGCACATGTACTTATGACTTCCCGTGACCACGGGAAGATAGCTGAGAAAGAAGTTGTGGTATTTTTTCACTAATATCTATATTTTTTGAAACAAAAAACTAAATAAAATAAATTTTTCTAAAGTAAACAGGCAAAAAAAAGAAGAGATGTCTTATTCGCAGCGAATTAGACATCTCATGAAATAGTACCATCATTTAGTAGCATGCAAATTGAAGATTCAACTTTTTCGAATTTTAAGTGGTTATGATTTATAGTTTACGAATGGTAAGATGCGCCCCAAAAAAAGCACAAAATACGGAAAGGAGCTTCTTCATATGCAGCATTAGATCAATGCCAATACTTGTTAAAAAACTAACAAATGTGGTTGTTACCCTTGCAAAAAATATTCTACCATGCTAACACACGTTTTCCAGTCGACTGATAAATAGCTCGTAAATTAATTATTTCTTTTCGATATTCATATAGATCAGATCGAACGAAAAACTTAACTGCTCAGAATTAAAATGTGTTACAAAAGAAGGGCTAAAGCCTGTCGTAAGGAAAGTTCTTACGTAAGACGAAAGAGGATATGATGAATCTGTGACTCAATAGCTTAGGTGGTTAAAGCGTTAACAAGGAATGTTATGGTCCTGAGTCCGAGTCCCAGTCAAGTCCTATTTTCGTTCAGGTGTTTAACATTATTCCCGAAATAACAATATACGTTATTTAACAACGTCCTGTTCGCGAAAGAGCCATTTTGCAGAAAAATGAATTTTTTCTCGAAACCTACTGTAACTCAAAGTCGTCATTTTTCCATAGACCAGGAGGACTTGTGTGGTCTTTTTAATTCAGAAAGAGACTATTTTTGCTCAACACTACTTTATTACGGTTGAAATGTTATCATAAACTAATGAAACCCAAATTCAGAAAAATGTTTTTTAGACGAAAAATCCCTGAGGGGGACCGTTGTCCTAAATTTTTGTAGAAAACTTTTTCATTCAGAAAATGAACAAGTTATACCTCATTCGACACGTTATTCCAGATCACATTATGTTTTATACAACTGTTCGTGACTCGAGAAAAATACATTTTACGTAAAAACCCAGGATGTTTTGAAAACCTATAACTCGACTTTGAAAAATATGTACATTTTTGTGCATTCACCATCGATGCAGCACATGTCAACGAGCATTCTGGTGTAGTTTCGAGTTGGTTGTCGGTGGATACCTCATTACAATTCAAGAACCTATATTGAGCATGAGTCCGTCGGTAATATTACTTTTTTTTTGCCTGACTATCGAAATGCTCATTCACTGTTAGACAGCTAAATGCGTCTAGATTTCGAATATATACTTTGCATAATTTTGAATTGGCTTGATTCAGTAGAAAAATTGTTTTTTCCGCAAATGTCACTAATACATAGGCTATTTTTACTTCGATGTCTTTCGGAAACTTCGCTTTTGAAAGGAAACATTTTACGCCATCGGATAGCCCATCATTCAAGGTACATTCGACACTATTTGAATTTTGAAAAGCGCATTTCAGAGTTTTTATTAAATGTTCGCATGGTTGCCCATTGTGATGGTAATCCTCGTATGGCTAAAACCTAGCGGGGTTCAAGTCCATCGAGCCTCCCGTCTCCCTCACCTATGATTATCATTCTTGGGTCATTTCTATACCTTGAAAAGAAAACATGAACGTTTCACAAAAAATTATCCTTTTCACAGAACCGAGGGGGCTCATGCAAATAATTTTGATTGGCATTCATTCTAGCAAAAACACATTGTCTTACACATTCGTTACAGTATGAAGTGCTGATTCCGAAAATGATATTGGTTTCAGAAAAACTAGACTAGAAGTGCAAAGTAGAAGTTAGTTAAAAGTCGTCAATTTTTTCAAAAACCTACATATGAGCTCAGACAGCAAGATGCATGCTTTATAGATGTAGTACTCATCAAAATCTCTAGCCTGAAGCATATGAAAAAGAAATGCCGCACAGTGAAGGGAGATTTTGACCTTGGACTGGTAAACTTCTGAATGGTAAGAGAGATAGCCAGCTAAAAAATGGTTTTAGCATTACATTTTTAGCTGGTCAACATTTGTGTAAAGCTTTATTAAAATCGGATGCAAGATAAAAAGATCTTTTCCTGACGAGAGAGCCCTTAAGATCCATAAGAATCATTATTAATTTAAAGAATACGCTCTGCTCACTTAAAATTAGTTCAATGTAAAATATTATATCTACATTACACACTTATGCGCGATTTATATTTTCTTTTGATATGTTATGAGATTAATAGTATATAATTAAAAAATGTAGATGATTTCGTGTAAAAGTAAATCTTGCAACATCTCAAAGTCATTCATAATAATTGTCAGCTGTCTCTTCTTCTTTATCATATATAGATTAAACCAATGAATCTTAATTCAAAAACACAAATTCCACATGAAGTCAAAAGTTGAATGTTAAAAGATGCTACTTTTCGTCAATTAACAGAAAACTCGAGTGTAATGCTAAATAATATCAGAAAAAATGTTATATTAAGTCGACAGCTTTTGTCGGATGCATTAAATATGTCTTATGATCGATATCGTCTAATAGTTGAAAACAATTTTGACAAGAAACTGTTTTTAAAAGACAAAAAGCAAAAGCAGAAAAACCAATGCCAGGTCTGAAAGCGTAAGTTTTATAAAATCTAATACTTGTCACTAATAAGGTACTGAAAGATGCTGCAGTTATTTTAGAGAATATCTTCAAAAACTAAAGAAGGTAAAAGGCTACAAACAATTCCTAACAAGAATATTTTCTCTTAGCATTGTGATCGATGACATACACGAATTATTTCACTTTTTATTGCTAAAGTAAAGACCAATGTATTATGAATTCAGACTCTTTAACGATTAATTTCTTAGTTTCTCCAGATTGACTGGAAACTCTTGCATATTCTGATACAGTTCAGTAGATCTCACTGAATGATTTTCGATTCACTGGATATATGTTAAAAGAGGTGAACTTCTTCGTGAGAAACTACAAGACGACAGTAAGATACGAAACTGAAGAGGGAAGAAAGGATTGGAAAGATTAGTTTAAAGGACGAATCAAAGAAGTGAAGATCAAGAGAATTTCTCTGCAAGAATTCTTCGTGTTATTGTTTGTTTTTGGAGTTTGCATTGATTTGTTATTTGTTCGAAAGAAACCAAAAACAAAGTGTCAAATAAGAAAATTTAATTTTTTCAATGTCAAAGACGTTCGTTGAATGAGATCATTTTTATATCTCCATATCGTTGTATCTCGAATTCTATGAAGTCGATGTTCAGTCTGACACGATTTTTGTATTGCCTTAACGCAACTTTTTCTGTAATGTTGTAAATGTGCTAGTGTGATATTGATTTCATATGCACGACAACGACGAAAACAACTAAGAGGAAAATGATTATGTAAAGTAATAAGACGTTCTGTATCAAAAAATGTTTTCACATAGGCTCCTGATATCGTATAATGAGATGATCGATAAATATGTGTTAACATATGTAAATATGGTGGAATATTCAATTGTTCATTGAATTGGCCAATCTCAGTACTATTCTCTTCATCGAGATCTTCTAAAAAATAAACATTTCGTGCACTAAATGATGTATAAGTTTCATTTTTGTTTAACCAATTTCTTTGAATTTCCTGAATCGTTTCTAACCAAGTTCGATGTTGTAATGGCATAATAACTTCATCAATATCAAGTAAAAGAATATAATGATAGAAATAAATATTTTTATAAAAACAATCATTATATGGAATAAGTTCATTTTGACGTCGATTAATCATTTTTTCCTTTAAATATTTTTCTCGAATTTCAGGTGAATTCGGCTGAGAACCAGGTAAAGTTAATTTTTCAACATGAACTTTGTCTTGTTGTTGATAATATTCAAGTACTTGACTGATATTTGGGTGAATATCAAATTCATAGAAAAAGATTTTCTCCGCACCTAAAAGATTTAATAATTCAATCCATTCAATCAGTTTGACACTGATATCTTCCGAAAGAAATTCTAATCCTTTCACACAAACAGCAAAAGGTTGTTTCTTTCCATCCAATGGACGATTATTACGAATTGGAAGGTTATTTCCTAGTTTTGTACAATTTGTTTCGAATAATGTAACTCATCGTGGAAGAAGTTCTTTTCGTGTGGCATATTTTTGTTGAGGAATTGGACAACTAATGAGAAATGGCTGAAGAACTTCATCACGATAATTTCCCCATTTTGGATGCCAAATATATTGATAGGTTGCTGATGTTATGATTGAACTTGAAGTATTGTGAAGCCAAATTAAACAATAGATTGGAATAGGCGATATACGATCAATCACGGAAAGAATTCGTATTAATGGAGAAGAACCAACTAGTACACGATTATCATAAAAAGCATGGTATAAGTAATACGTTCCATTCGATGATATAAAACGTTGCCAATAGATGTTATTATAATCAAGATCAATATCTTTGGGATGTGTTATTTTGCTGCATTTCTTTTTTCCATCTTTGTTCTCAAATTTCGATTTATTTAAAATTTCCTTTTGTTCAATTGTTCTCGTCGCATTATATCTTAAAGAATTGTCGATTTTCTTTACCATATTTTCCTGACGTAATCTCATATGTAATGCAAATTGAAATATCAAATTCACTCCAAACGTAATGAATAGAATTTTCAAGAATGATCGAAACAGAAAGCTTCCCGACGCTTTTCGAATATGGTTTGATTTGATTTTCTCACCAAATGGAAAATCAACCATCATTTTAATAACTGATCTGTTTGATTCAAGTTCAAGAGATATATTTCGATGGAATTCTTCAATAAAAAGAAAGATATATTTGGATATTTTTCGGAAAGACCTATTTTCAGCGAGTATTTTGGACTGGTTAGATCAGAAGTAGAGAGTAAACAGCTTTGGTCGGAAGAAATTCGTGACTTCTTTCGGGTTATTACTATGTTTAAAGCTCTTATTTTGCCCAATGGTACGGGACCACTATAACCTCCAAAGGATACCATTTTTCCAATGTATTTTGGCCGAGATATAAGACTTTTAAGGGGTACCACTTTTACATAATTTTGACCAAAACCGCTTTTTCTTTTACAGTAAATACGTAGAAGTCATGGTCATTAGAAGTCTTATATCTCGACCAAAATACATTGAGAAAAAGAATCCTTTCGAGGTGTGCTAGTCTAGGGGTTCTCTACCATTGGCAACATAAGAGCTTTAAAAATTGTAATAACCCCCAAGATGTACCTAGAAAATGACAAGAACCAGTCCAAAAACGTTTTGTTCTTTCGGAGCTAGTTCAGAGGAGAATGTCCCAACACGTTGCTTTCTGAATGCACATTAGGAAATAAAGATTGTACATTTTCTTTCCTCACCGAAGCTGTGACCCGCATCATCTTTAGCACCTTCAAGAGTTGAGTTCCTAATAAATGGATAAGAAACGGACACGTGGCACACATGAAAATTAGAGACCGAATGTTTGATCGCTATTGAAGAGATCTTTATTACGAAAAAAGCGTTCTGTTGTTGTATATCTTTATTCATTCTCAACCAAACAAGGTCAGCGGAGTGAACCGCATTATCGACCTTCAGTGTACATTTAAGTTGCCTTAATTAGAAGAAAATAAAAAAATAGCAAGTAGGCGAGAAACACGAACAAAAATAGTAAAAAAATGTATAAAATAATTTAAGAAAGTTTTGCCGTAAGCACAGTAGCTTTAGCTTTTGTGATAAATACAAATATTCGTGAGGGATGATGGAGAGTGGGAACAGAATATTTTTAGAAAATAATGCACTGCTGGTTATTTGATTACTTTAATCAAATCATCTTAGTCCATCTATATAGCTAGTAACTGGCATGAGAATGCAGCGATAATAGACAAAATTCATTACTCGTTATTACTGTTGAAGTAGCCACAGTTGATGACATCGGTATTCGTCCTAAATGTCAAAATAAACATTCCAGAATCATGACCTGATCTTAGCAAACGATTAATTCAGGAGAAATCTATTATATGGTAGTAATAGAAAATAAATCAATATATATACTAACCACAGAAATCAGATGAAGAACATGTTAAGTTTTTATCATTTCTACACCATTGATCATTTTGACATACTGAACCATTGTATCCTTGATTTAAACACATATATCCGTTCCAATATGTATATGGAGTACATTGACAAGTATTACTAATACATAATAAATATCGATTTATTTGACATTGATCACATGTTCGGTTATAGGCTAAATAAATCTGTGGCGTATATGCAATACTACCAACTCTTGATGTTGATGGGATAGCTGCTGATCTATTCACTAGACCGGTTGTTATTTCACCTTCAAATAGTCGACATCGTTTAGATAATGTATCATAGTCGAACGTCCGACACAAGGAATTCACATTACATGTTTGTGCACAACGGATTTGTGATGACACCGAGATTGTATTTATTAACTCAATTGGATCAGCAGGTGTAAATGATGTACCGAAATCGCTCAAGTGAATACACGATTGGAATAGTGAATAAACAAGATTGATGCACAGGAACCATCGAAGAAAATACTGCGGCATTATTGTGTATGTAAGTGTTTTCATAAGATAGATGTTTTCAAAACTTCTCTGTTAAAATCTTTTCTTTTTTTAATGTCCCTTCGTCGTCAAAATTAGATATTTGTATCTGAATTTCTTATTTTTTTCATTATAGACAGAAACGTTTTTTTTCAGATCTACTGTGACATTTTTTTGAGGTATAGCACTGATTGAGATCTGCAGATTTCACAAGAAAAGAAAAAAAAATTGAATAATTTCAACGTCCAAAAGGTGTTTCATAAGAAACTAGAAAGAAGAATTGTTTGCTACTAAAAGCAGAATGATGTGTACTCCTAATCTGGTTTTAACCCACTAAATATATATACAAGACAATGTTTTCTCGTTTGGAGAAAAAAAGCGATATATTGGGCTAGAATGCTAGATCGTTAAGACATACAAACATGAAGTAGTTGGACGTGAACGTTTGTCAACATTTCAACGCATGTTGTGATGTGAATGTTGTAGTAATGTATTTCTTAAACATGCTGAAATATCGACAGTAGTTGAAAATCCAAATACTAAACACATATTGTTATTTACGAGTTTTCATACTTCCCACGTACGTTTTAAAAATTCCCTAGATGAGCAAAGTGCTCGTAATCGTATTTCACATATCTGCATGTTATCTGATGTGAGAATAAAAATTATCTGGGATAATATGTGCTTTAGCGTATGCCCTGTTCTGAAAACCGCCGGTTAGCGGCGGTTATTGCTGGTTAACTGTGCGCTTAACCGTCGGGTTTTACGCGTGGTTAACCAACATCGGTTTTTGTAATTTCATCTGGGATTGAATACTGCCGCGTATTCCGTTGATAGTAAGCAATTTTTACTTGCAAGCAATTTTTTCAAAAAGAGAGTGGGACGATTTCTAACCTTATACGTTCCCGTCCTTTGATTTTAACATGTTTGCTTTGGTGATACCCTTTCTCATTATCGGAGAGAGCAACATTTGTTTTTGCATGTTTCAGTCAGTATATTCCAGTATTTTCTCCTTCCATAAATAAATTTTTCCGATTTATAGGAAAAACGTGTATTTGTTCTTTTTGGTCGGAACTGACTTGATTGAATAAAGCAGAGGTAGAATTAGCCGTTTCTGGAATAAGTGAAGATGAGGAGTATCTGTTGAGGTTACACCAGTCATTTTTTCAGAAGGATTTGGCAGAGGATATGGAACGTCTCGGCAAAAACGAACAATCACAACAGCAGCAGTTAAAAGTGGCGTGCGCCTGCAGTTAAACCAGACATTTTCGGGCATAAAGCCCACTTCTTTTCTTTTGTGTTGTGTGTGTGTGTCTTGCTACTTTTTATTTTTATTCTTTTCTTTTCAAATATAGTTTTATTTTTATATGTGAGGGTGCTCGAGTTGCCTGATGAGTTTTACTTTTAAAAAAACGAAACGCGTCGCAACAAGCAACAATCTTATTTTATACGGCATCGCGATCAAAAAGTCGTTTTATGGTTGAAGCGTTTTTTTCTACAGAAAACATTTTACTATAAAATTTCAAGTTATAAGTTGGGTTCAAGGAGCCTTAGTTTAAGATATCTGTTCTCATATCACTCTCTATCTCTGCGAATAACAATCAGAAACGCGTCTAATAACAGTTTTTGCCTGTTACTCTATCTAGCCGCGCACATATGCGTCAACATACAACTACCGATTATGATTATGTTATCTAATCGTCAAAAAGATGCCGCTTTTTAAAATGATGAATGTAAAGAAAACATTTTCTTTTTTGTGTTTTAATCTGCAAAGAACAAGAAAAATATGTAATCAAAGAATTGGCATTTTTTTGTATTGAATCCCAGCGGAGCAATATGGTAAAAACGTACGTGCCTCGTCTTAGGCACTATTTCTTATACTATTATATCGGTAGCTTTTCATTCAATATAGAATTTTGTGTGCGCGCAAGCGCATTTAAACGCGTTTCTTTCTCAGAAAAGCAATAAACGCGTCTATTTTAACATGTCCAGTTATCCAATTCTTATATATGTTCCAATATATCTCAGGTTTCTGTAAGAGTTAATTGGAAATTTTCTAGTCAACATGATTCATTAACTTTTTACATGACATAAACAATTTTCATTCGTAATAACGTCCGGTTTTTTTTACGAGAGAACCAGAAAAAAAATACATTCTGCTATAAACATTAATTTTTTGTATGCTCCTTTTATTTGTCTTTAGATTACGACCAAAATGTCTTTTGTCGTTGAAAATTTATAAAAACAAATCAATATTATATCTAACATAAACGATGAAATCACATACTGGACGTCGTGGTGTCCTTGGCTGTAGTGAACGTCGCGGTACCCGTAGTGAACGTCTCGGTATCCGTAGTGAACGTCGCGGTTTCCTCGGCTGTAGTGAACGTCGTGGTGTCCTCGACTGTAGTGAACGTCGTGGTGTCCTCGGCTGTAGTGAACGGCGTGGTATCCTCGGCTGTACTGGACGTCGTGGTACTCGAGTTTGATACAGTGCTGGTAATAACTTTAGTTCGCGTACTGCTATCACTTGTTGTACCTTAAGCAAAATTCATTACAGCAGGAAATAGTATTCTAACTGTAGGGTTATAAACCAGCCTCAATTCGAGGCGCACCCCCTTACCCTCGCAACTTCAAAAGCTAAGAGTTTACTTTGAAAGATAATACACAAAACTCATTACTCGTCATTACTGTTGAAGTAGCCACAGTTGATGACATCGGTATTCGTCCTAAATGTCAAAATAAACATTCCAGAATCATGACCTGATCTTAGCAAACGATTAATTCAGGAGAAATCTATTATATGGTAGTAATAGAAAATAAATCAATATATATACTAACCACAGAAATCAGATGAAGAACATGTTAAGTTTTTATCATTTCTACACCATTGATCATTTTGACATACTGAACCATTGTATCCTTGATTTAAACACATATATCCGTTCCAATATGTATATGGAGTACATTGACAAGTATTACTAATACATAATAAATATCGATTTATTTGACATTGATCACATGTTCGGTTATAGGCTAAATAAATCTGTGGCGTATATGCAATACTACCAACTCTTGATGTTGATGGGATAGCTGCT